AAGGGGCTGCAGGAAACCTGGAGAGGGGCTTGGGACAAGGGCCTGGAGGGATGGGGTGAGGAGAAACAGCCTCCAACTGGAAGAGGGAGGAGCTGGATGAGATACTGGGAAGAAGCTCTTCCCTGTGAGGGTGCTGAGGCGCTGGCACAGGGTGCCCAGAGAAGCTGTGGCTGCCCCATCCCTGGCAGTGTTCAAGAGCAGGTTGGATCGGCCTTGGGCTTCTCTGGGCAACCTGGGATCAGTGTCTGGCATGAAGCATTACTGCAGCCAGGGCCAACGATCAATGGCAGGAGGCTGGAGCAGGGAGTGACTTGTCCAAGGTCACTGAGCAGGAGCTGGGAATAGACTCCAGATTTACCAGAAGGGGTTAATGGTGGATTTGGATTTGTAGCTGGATAAGGCAGATGGCTGCAAGCGGCTTAATACGTACTTAGAAGATCTCTGTGCTGTCAAGTGCTGGCCAAAGACAGGGATCTTCTCTTTTTCAGGTTCCAACACGTACGAGGAAGCAGCTGCCTACATCCAGTGTCAGTTTGAAGACCTGAACAGGAGAAAAGACACCAAGGAGATCTACACCCACTTCACCTGTGCCACCGACACCAAGAACGTGCAGTTTGTCTTTGATGCTGTCACAGATGTTATCATTAAAAACAACCTGAAGGAGTGTGGGCTCTACTGAGGAGCAAAGGAGCAGAAGGTAATGGTGGGTTCATACCTTGGGGCTTGAGGCTTTGCCTCACACCTCCCTAAACGTTCCCTCTTTCCTTCCATCCCAGTTTATTCCACGCGCTGACTTGAGAACCAGCCTCTTGGCTGCCTCGCTGGGGACAGCAGCAGCATGAAGGGGACCAGGGCAACGCAAACCAGCATGAGGAACCGTTGCATTCTTTAGCACAATCTTCTCTAGTAGGGACCTTTTTCCTTGGTGGAGTGAGGGTGAAGCGGAACAACCATTCGTGTGACGGGCTCATCCCGACGTCGCTCCGATGGTGTTGTCTCTGATGTGTACAGCTTGTTGGGAAGTTGAGGTGCTGGATTCCAGGCCTTCAATATGTAGCTTTCTCTCTTTCTTTGGTTAACAAGCCACCACTAGTCTGTTTTTAAGGTTGGTTTTTCCATCAGGATAACAATAACTTTACTGGTTTTCAGTTCTTTCTTTGCAAACAAATCTTGTTTTCAGAATAAAAACCTAAAAAAACCCAACAAAAACTACTCACTTAACTATGCACATGTGAGCAGATCATGCAGGAAGCATTCCTCTTAGCAGGAACTCTTTGTTTTTAACACTTGGTATGGTCAGGATTTAATGTCTCTGCAGCTTCTTAAAGGATCTTTAGAGCTCTTACAGCTTCTTCCAGTGTGTAACTTGTTCCCATCCTGCTGCCATTCTTCTTCCCAAAGGAGCTCCTGCAGCGGGAGGAGGCTTTAGGGGTGAACCTGCTTTATGCTGATCCCCACATCACAGCTCATTCCATGGGATCAGCCTCAAGCTGAACGTGTTGCCCCCCTTGGAGAGGAACCAGAGCTCCAAAGGGGCTGGGGACCATATGCTGCTACAGAGCAACTCCTAACCCCTTAGATCCTGCTGTGGGTTTGGGTGGAACTGGTGGGCAATTCTGTTGTGCGTTTTTCCCCATGGCCTTTTCTGTCTGGAGCCTCCCAATCCCTATGGACAAGCATGCCTTTACTTTGTATATGTGGTGCCAAACTCCCCTTTGCCATCGTGCTTCCTGTAGTAAGAGTCAGAAGCCCTCAGTACGTTCCTTTGCTGAACCATTGCATCGACTTCTCTCTCCCGGTTCGTCACGTGTACAGTTTCCATCTGTTCTAGTTGTTGGCAGTATTAAATTGGTGAGTAAACGGTTTAACCTGGTCTCCACTTCATTCTTCATTTCTTCCCCCACTTTCCTGCTTTGCAGAGGAAAGAAGGGAAGTGATCCGATGGGAAATGGGTGTAATGAATGGGATGGGAGAGTTCCTTGTGCTCCGTCACCTGGAGCAAATCCAGGAGGCCCCGGAGCTGCTGCGAGGGCTGGAGCAGCTCTGCTCTGGAGCCAGGCTGAGAGAGCTGGGCTGGGGCAGCTGGAGAAGAGAAGGCTCCTGAAGGGGACACCTTAGAGCAGCTCCAGTGCCTAAAGGGGCTCCAGGAGACCTGGAAGAGGGGCTTTGGACAGGGGGTGGAGGGACAGGCCAAGGGGAATGGCTTGAACCTGCCAGAGGGGAGATTGAGATGAGCTCTGAGGCAGAAGCTCTTCCCTGTGAGGGTGCTGAGGCGCTGGCACAGGGTGCCCAGAGAAGCTGTGGCTGCCCCATCCCTGGCAGTGCTCAAGGCCAGGTTGGACACAGGGGCTTGGAGCAACCTGCTCCAGTGGAAGGTGTCCCTGCCCGGGGCAGGGGCTGGAGCTGGAGGAGCTTTAAGGTCCCTTCAACCCAAACCAGGCTGGGATTCTGCTGCTCCCGAGGGCTTGGGCTCTGGTGGCAGGGCTGGAAGCTGGAGCTGTCCAGTCATTCATTAGGATTATTGGCAGATGCTCCACTGCTCGTTCACTGCACCATTCCCAGTGGAGGTGGCTGCTCCAGCCCCTGTTCCATGCTGCAGATGCAACCCATTGGGGAGACACTTGTCCAGAAACACCAAATCCAGCACTCCAGGGGTGCTGTGGGTGCCCGTGGTGCTGCTGGATGCCAGCAGAGTGTGTTTGTGCTCTGGCAGCTCTCTGCCTGCCTGACGGTTCCCCTCCAGCCAGCACGGAGGCTCTGCTACGGCTTCCCCCTGCTAGAGCTCCTGGGCATCTCATCAGTGACTGGCTTGCAGCACCGGGCTGCTCCCAACCTGGTGCTGGGGCTGCAGCAGAGCCCTGGCAGGACCCAGGTAGGGATGTGCTTCGGTGGAGAAGGGCTTTAGGTGCCCAAGAGGCCAGCAGCATCTCCGCTCTGTGCTGTGGATGCTGGTGAGCAAAGAGTGAGAGATACTCCTTAACCGGAGCTCCTGGGCGCAGGAATGGGGTTTGGGAGCAGGGACATGGAAGTGGGGAAATGATAGACGTGCACATGATGCCTGTGTCCTTTATTTGATGTCCTACAGTTACATGAAGCTGTACAGGGGATGGGGCAGATGTGAGGGACCAGCGTTTATTTACAACCAGTAAAGAGCAGACAGAGCTCTACAGAGCACAGAGAGGGGCTTGTGTCACCATTTCCTCTTCCTCCCGCCCATGAGCATCAGCACCTCCCTCAGAGCCCAACGCTCCTGCTCCTGCCTTTGCTTGCTCACCATCGACTCCAACCTGGGGCCCAAAACCAACCCTAACCCCATCATTTCTTCTCCCAAAGGACTGGGGTTGGTTCCCCCAGGTCACCCTCCCTCTGCCTTCCCCCCAGAGCTCCTGCTTTGAGGAATTCAGCTTTGGTAAAAGGGAAGAAACCAGAAGAGGGTCTGTCCCTGCTCCCAAAGTGCTGCTGCTGGCTTGGGAGGATGATGACTTAACACAGAATCATAGAATGGTTTGTGTTGGAAGGGACCTTAAAGCTCATCCAGTCCCAAATCCCTGCCCCGGGCAGGGACACCTTCCACAAGAGCAGGTTGCTCCAAGCCCCTGTGTCCAACCTGGCGCCCTGAAACCAACAAGGAAAAAGAGGAAATGGCCACGAAAGGGAGCAGGAAGTTCAGCGTTAGCCCCGTCCTATCCTGGGCTGGAGGGAGGTGACTTGATTGGGCAGGACATAGAAAAAGTGGGCTCCAAGGAACTTGTATTTATATATTTTGGTTAATCCTTTTGGCTCTGCTCAGCAGAACGGCGATGGGAATGGGAGTCCTGTCCTCTTCTAGCAGGAAGGAAGGAAGAAGAGGAGGTTAAACACTTTCCAACTCCACGGTGAAGGTATAGGAAGGGGGGAAGAAGAGAACCAGCATCTCATTGCACCATGATGGGAACAACTCATTGGGTTAAACACTTCTGCCCCACGTAGTGGCAGAACCCCCCCAGTTTACATCTATTGGTGCTCAGGGATGAGGGAAGTGCCAGAGGTTCCCTGAACAACCGAAGGGCTGAAGCTGGAGACTGGAATCTGCTTGAGAATGGGGGAGAGGGAAGGAATTCCCAGCAGTGCTCAGGCGGGTGGGGGAGCACAGCGGTGAAGAGGAGGGTTGTGAACCCCGCTTGGGTTCTGAACCCGAACTGAAGTGTTCTGGTGCTGAGCGGGAAGGCTGGTGAAGAGCGGGTGTGCGATGGCCACCCATACGGTTCCTGCCATGTACCCAGGCTGGGTGGCAGCTGCAAACTGGAGCAGCATCAGTGATGTGGGAATGGGAGGTTTGACACTGCTGAGGTGCTGGTTTGTCATGGAATCCCAGTCCCAACCCCTGCCACGGGCACGGACACCTTCCACTAGAGCAGGTTGCTCCAAGCCCTGTCCAACCACAGAGGAGGCCACAGAGATGCTGCAGCTCTGCTCTGGAGCCAGGCTGAGAGAGCTGGGCTGGGGCAGCTGGAGAAGAGAAGGCTCCTCAAGGGGACACCTTAGAGCAGCTCCAGTGCCTAAAGGGGCTCCAGGAGACCTGGAGAGGGGCTTTGGACAAGGGATGGAGGGACAGGACAAGGGGAATGGCTTGAACCTGCCAGAGGGGAGACTGAGATGAGCTCTTGGGCAGAAGCTCTTCCCTGGGAGGGTGCTGAGGCGCTGGCACAGGGTGCCCAGAGAAGCTGTGGCTGCCCCATCCCTGGCAGTGTTCAAGGCCAGGTTGGACACAGGGGCTTGGAGCAACCTGCTCTAGTGGAAGGGGTCCCCGCCCGGGGCAGGGGTTGGTGCTGGAGGAGCTTTAAGGTCCCTTCAACACAGACCAGGCTGGGATTCCATGACCCTTTCTCCACAGGCAGGCATTTCCACACTGTGTTTGATGCCAAAGCCCCATCCCATCACCCCATGGTTTGGGCTCTGTCCCATCTCATCCCTTTTCCCTTCCCCAGCCCCTTTAGCGTGTCTCAGGTACCTACCACCCGCTGCTCAGAAGAGGCCACAGTCCTTGAGGTTCTCCTTGATGATGACGTCCGTGACGGCGTCGAAGACGAACTTGACGTTCTGCGTGTCTGTGGCACAGGTCATGTGGCTGTAGATCTCCTTCACGTCCTTCCGCATGTTGAGATCCAGGAACTGGGTCTTGATGTAATTCCCTGCGTCCTCAAACGTGTTGGGACCTGCGGAGGGAGGAAATTGTGCTGCTGAGCTGCTCCCGTAGGAATGGTCATTGGAGCTGGGTCAGGACCTGGGGATGCTTCAGGGTTGTGTTGAAAGCTTCCTCTGGAGGAGGAGGAGAAGGGCTGGTGGTGACTGCACACAGCCGAGCACTTAACACCCATTTCATCCCATTCCAATCCCTCCAACCAGTTTCCCAAGGCCATGTCTGCTGCTTCTCTGCTCCTACCTCCAGGAACATGACTACTCCCACCATAACCCCAGTCCAAGATGCCATCTCCATGTGGTCCCACATGGACACTTTGGAGGTCTCTGGGAGGGGGAACCCACTGACTCACCGTCGTATTCGGGGAAGCAGATGCTGAGATGGACTTTCTTGATCTTCTCCTCAAAAAGGTCCTTCTTGTTGAGGAAGAGGATGATGGATGTGGCGGCAAAGAACTTGTGGTTGCATATACTGTTGAATAGGTGCAGGGACTCGTGCATGCGGTTCTGCAAGGAGACATGGAGCCATTGCAGCCCCCAAACAACCCATTCCCAAGGGAAGAGCTTTTCCCTGTGCTGCCTGGCCCCGGCCTGCATCCAGAGTCCCTCTTCCCATCCAAACCCCATCCCAGTGCTGGATAAATCCAAGTGGTGCTCAGCGTAGGAGCGGTGTTAAGCAGCTCCGGGCTATGTGATGCTCTGGTCCCTCTTGGCAGCTTCTGGGATGTTCAGGAATGAAGGATTCCGGTGATCGCATTGAGAATGTCATCCAAGGCAAGCTCCCAGCCCTGTGGAAGGTGCTCGGCATCGCTTGGGATGCTCCTGTTGGATCTCCTCCACCTTTATATGGCAGCAGATGGGTTCTTCAGGGTGATGGGGATGGATTTGCCTTGTCCAGCTTCCCATGGCGGGGGAGATGCCTCCTTCTGCTCAGCTCCTCTTGCTCCTTCTGAGGAATGACCTATTTTGGGGCTGTCACGTTCCTCCTCTGCCCCTGAAGCTGCTTTTCCTGGTGCTGGAGCAGCGGCTCTCACCAGGCACCTGGAGGACTTCACTGACCAACCTTGTGCCATGGAACCACAGCGTGGTTCGGATTGAAGGGAGCTTAAAGCTCCTCCAGCTCCAACCCCTGCCCCGGGCAGGGACACCTTCCACTAGAGCAGGTTGCTCCAAGCCCCTGTGTCCAACCTGGCCTTGAACACTGCCAGAGATTGGGCAGCCACAGCTTCTCTTTGCCTTCCTGGGGCTGCTGTGTCCCCATGAGCTCCATGCCTCAGCTCCCACCCCATTCCCACATCACCCAGAGCATCACATGGCACCAAGTGCTGGTCCCTTCCCTCTGTATCCCCCCAAGCACCAACTCTGCTCCCCCTCATCCACCGAGTTGCAGCTGGCCACCTCTGGGACCCCAACCCACCACTTCATCGTCCTCCACCAGCACCATGTCGTAGGCGCTCAGTGCCCCGCAGAAGATGATGCAGGTCACCCCCTCGAAGCAGTGGATCCACTTCTTGCGCTCTGATCTCTGCCCTCCCACGTCAAACATCCTGGGGGGGGACAAGGAAGGGGTCAGGGGGGACACATCTGGTCCTGATACCCCCCATGTGATGGTCCCAGCACCCCCAATGTGATGGTGCCAGCACCCTGTCCTCAGCAGTGTCAGGGATGCAGTAACCAACCATCCCTGGTCCAGATGGGGTTAGTGGTCCTTGGAGCATCAGGTTCACCCCAAAACCCATCCCCAGCATTGGAGCTGGGGGGGATCACGGGGGGATCATGGAGGGGATCATGGTGGGATCATGGGATGGATCATGGAGGGAATCATGGGGGTTGCACCCACCCACCTGAAATTGAGATCTTTGACGGAGAACTTGGTCTCGATGATGCCCGTGGTCTTCACCCTGGACCTCAGCACATCCTGCTCATTGGGCAGGTAGTCGGGGGCCGTGATCCTGTCCAGCTGGTTCAGGTAACTGGAGGGGGGAACAGGAGGGGATGTGACATGCTGCTGACGTCCCATGTCCCCGTGTCCCCCCCGTGCCGTGACCCCACTCACTACGCGGCCGAGTCATTGAGCTGGTACTCGGCGGCGCGGTCGAAGCAAGCCTGGACCCCCCCATCCTTCCACAGCTTCTTGATGCAGTCCACCAGCTCGGGGGGCATCGTGCCCTCCTCGATGGAGTCAGCCAGGTTGAAGAGCTGCCGCCCATCGTCCTGCAAGAGGCACCATTGCCACCAGCCAGCCCAGGGCTCCTGGTGCCCAAACCCCACTGCAGGGCTTCGGACCCCATTGCCACAGTGGGGTTGGGGAGGACGGGGATGGTGGCCCCCAACTGACCGCACGGGACGACTCGGCGTAGTCGATGCCCAGCGTGGACATGGCGCGGATGATGGCCAGGATGGACTGCAGGATGTTACCGTAGATGATGGCCTTGAACTCCATGCACTCCTCAGGTGTGTAACCATCCTGGTGGATGATCCTGAGGGATGGGGGGACACAATGGGCTCAACTCCAAGCTGGGAATCACCACCATGGGGATGGGGTGACCCTGTGCAAGAGGGCGTTATTCCTCCATCACCCAGTGGGGACCTGGGGCCATACTCACTTCATCTGCTTCACGATGGTGCTCTTGCCTGATTCACCAGCACCTGGGGAAGGGTGGGAGGACACCTTAGTGCTGGTCAGGGTGGGATGGACCCCAGGCCTGATGCCACAGTGGTGGGCATCAGGGCCACTCTCCCATGTCCTGAATCTCCCAGTGCCTCCATCCCCATGCTCCCATTGCACCCAGTGCTGGACCACACCCTGGGGACCCCCAGGGGTGGTTGGGGACCCCCTAAGGCCACCACCAGGCCCCGGTGTCCCACCTCCCGCGGTGGCCTTGGTGTGTAAGCAGCTTAGGGCAGCGCAGGAAGCTGCTTAGAATTAGGTGCTAATCGCCTTGACCTGCACACGCCCCCCTCCGTCAAGGATCAGGCCCCATCACCCCTCCCTGTCACCCCACAGCCCCAGGGGTTCCCCCCCAGGTGGCAGGGATTGGGGTGCAGGTGGCAGCAGGTCCCCAGGGGGTCAAAAGCTCCCCTGAGATGTGGGACCTGGTGTCCTGGTCCCATCCCCATGTTGTCCCCTTTGTCCCTGCCACCCGTCTGGTTGTCACCAAGAGCTGATGCCACAACCATGCAGCTCCCTGATGGCAGCTCCTCAGGCTAATGAGCTGCGGGGAAGAGGAGCTATTGGGGTGAGGAAGGAGACGTTGGGTTGTGGACAATCAGTCCCTGGTTGCATTTGTCTCCTGCCCATCCTTCAAGGGGGTCCCCAATGGCAGGTAGGGTTGGGGGGACACTTCCCACATCCTCCTTCTGACATCCCTTCCACCCTTACCCAAGAGAAGCAACTTGACTGTCTTGGCCTCCTTATCCGCGTCCTCCTGGAGCTTCTTCTCCAGCTCCTTGGACCTCTTGGCCATCTCCTTGTCCTCGGCGCTGGCCCCGCTCCCCATGGCCTCGTCTTCCACCACCTCCTCCTCCTCCTCCTCTAACGCCTCGAGCTCCTCGAGGTCCCCAGGCTCTTCCAGCTCTCCTTTGGGAACGGCAATGGGCGATGGAAGAGGAAAGAGGAGCCCCGAGAGGCCGATCCCTGGTGTTGGGGTGCCCCTGAGCAGCAGCGTCCTGGCGGGCTCTCCTCTAATTCTCCATGGATAACCTGATTTGTTTGGAGCCTGGGATTTGGGGACCTTTTATCTCACCATGTGACCCAGGAAATCCACTTAGCCCAAGATGGCAAAGATTAGGGCTCAGGGGAAAAACCAATGGAGCATCTCGGGGAGGTGGCCACAGGGCTTTAGATAAGGGGGGGACAGGTAGTGAGACACTCCCCCCCGCCTCGGCCCCATGGGGACACCCTGTGTCCCATGAGGTTGTGTCCCCCCATGGGTTGGTTGGCATTAAGGGATGGGGTCACCTTCTGCATGTGTCCCCCCACCCCACAAGCTGGGGGGTTGCTTGGGGGTGACAGGGGGACATGGCTGGGAGCTGGGGGG